CTGCCATCCTCTCCCAGGTGATGTTTGTAAAGTCCTGTTTATAAGGCTCTCAAGAATGGCATCCTGCTCCTCTTTTTGCTTTTTCCACTTGGAGCTCATGGAAATAAATCTTCCTCCTTCCCATCTGTTATGGATTGAATTGTGTCCCCCCAGAATGTGTGTCAACTTAGCTAGGCCATGATTCCCAGTATTATGTGGTTGTCCTCCATTTTGTGATCTCATATAATTATCCTATGTATTGTAAATCCTCACCTCTACTATGTTAATGAGGCAGGACACAATCTACAGGATTAGGCTGTATCTTGAGTCAATCTCTTTTGAGAAATAAAAGAGAGAAGCAAGCAGAGAGCAGAGGGATCTCATTACCACCAAGCAAGAAGAGTCAGGAGTGGAGCGTGTCCTTTGGACCCAGGGTCCCTGCGCTGAGAAGCTCCTAGACCAGGGGAAGATTGATGACAAGGACCTTCTGCCAGAGCCGAAAGAGAGAGAAAGCCGTAACCTGGAGCTGGCACCCTGAACTCAGACTTCTAACCTCCTAGACTATGAGAGAATAAATTTCTGTTTGTTAAAGCCACCCACTTGTGGTATTTCTGTTATAGCAGCACTAGATAACTAAGACACTATCAAAAGCCTTCAAGAAATGCCCCTGGAAAGATTAGTCCAAAGGACTAGTGGACGACATCTACCACGGCCTCCACCAGACTGAGTCCAGTACAACTAGATGGTGCCTGGCTACCACCACTGACTGCTCTGACAGGGATTACAATAGAGGGTGTCAGACAGATCTGGAGAAGGATGTAGAACAAAATTCTAACTCACAGAAAAAGACCAGACTTACTGGCCTGACAGAGACTGGAGAAATCCCAAGAGTATGGCCCCGGGACACCCTTTTAGCTCAGTAATGAAGTCATTCCTGAGGTTCACCCTTCAGCCAAAAACTAGACAGGCCCATAAAACAAAACGAGACTAAAGGGGCACACTAGCCCAGGGACAAGGACTAGAAGGCAGGAGAAGACAGGAAAGCTGGTAATGGGGAACCAAATGTTGAAAAGGGAGAGTGTTGACATGTTGTGGGGTTGTTAACCAATGTCATAAAACAATATGTGTACTAACTATTTAATGAGAAACTAGTTTGTTTTGTAAACTTTCCTCTAAAGTACAATAAAAAAAAAATTCCCCTGACCTCCACTTCTTTAGCATTTTCTCCTTTCCTCAGACCTCTCCTTTCTCATTTTCACTCTGCCATCAGACATTGGCTCTGCCTGATCCAGACATGTTTGGGCTTCTCATCTTGGTCTCCTTTTCTGGGCTGAACATATGTGCTTACTCAGTGACTGGTATCCAGGGACTTAGTTCCCACAGTCCTCTCTCATCAGGAATTGTGCCCTCCGCCCCAGCCCTCTGGTCTCCAGTTTCCACTTTGCTCAGCTGGGAATATAAATAAATTAATCCTTAATTTCTAACATTTCAGTTCAGGCCTTTACCATTAGTGGTCACCCCCCATCCCCACATTTATAAATCCCTGGTTTCACAAACTCCTGGAATTTGCTTCATGAATCACATCTCTTCTTTCACATATGGTATTTGTTTCCTAGAATTGTCATAACAAAGCACTGCAAATTGAGTGGCTCATAAGAACAGAAATTTATTGTCTCACATTTCTGGAGCTAGGAGTCTGAAATCAGGATGTCAACAGGGGTGATTTCTTCTGAGGCTTTGAGGGAGAATCTGTTTCATGTCTTTCTCCTATCTTCCGGTGGCACTCAGTGATCCATGGCATACCTTGGCTTGTAGCTCCAATCTCTTCTCTGCCCTCATATGGCCATCTTCCCTGTGTGTCTCTGTCTCTGTGTTTATTCTTTTATAAGGATACCAGTCATATTGACTTAGAACCCACCGTACTCTAGTATGATCTCTTGTTAACTAATAACATCTTCTAAGACCCTTTTTCCCTACTTTAACGGATGAAGACATTGAGGCAGAGAAGATTAAGTATTTTGTCTAAGGTCATCAGATATTCAGTAGTGGAGCTACAATTTGAAGCGATTTGTTGCTGTCATCTCTAATAATTACTCAACATAGTAACCTTAGCTTATAAAATGCATTCAACATTGAATTAAAAATATGCTGACTAAATTTTTCATCATGTGGTCCATGACCAGTACATGGTATCCACTGAACTATGAGAAGAAAAAAGTCATACAGAATAACTAAAACAAAGATTATTCCATAAAATTCATTATATATGTTTGTTATAATTATAGACTAAAACAAATACCAGTTTATATCCATCTTCCAAATAAATGGAAAACCCAAGAACCTGCATATCTAACTATAAAATTTTTATCTTATTTAATTTTAAATGAGTTATCAGTGTTCATTTTTACTTGTAATGTATTTTCCCAGTGTTCTTGCATCAATTAACATTTACTCCAGTTACTCTCAAAATCTCTCAAACATCCAGACATTCAGCTATTTAATTACTTGAATTAATAAATAAACAGTATTGAGAAATTTGTGATTAGAAGGCAGGAAAGTTGGTGTGTCAAATATATTAAGTTTCTTTCTCTTCTTATTTTGGTTTAATTAGACTATGTGTCTTAGTTTTCTGTGTTCATAACAAATAGCTAACATATTTGTACTAAGGAAAAGTAAATGTGGAATGATTGTTATAACCACTTTTCAGACATGTAATCAAAGATTGCTTAAAAGTAATTTTTTAGGTAGTATTTGGGAGCCTTAATATTTGGAACTCTTTTTACTACATAAACCTGATTCTTGATGGTCTCAAAAAAAATTTTTTTTTTCACACACCTCTATCAGCAAATATTTTTCAGTATTCCCTCCATATATGCATATTTATTTGTGAAGTATATATATGTACTGCTATCAACTCATATATTTAATGTTAATACAACTTTTCTCCCTTTTATAGAGAATTAAATATAATTTATAATATCTTTTTCCCGCAATCTAATGAATCATCTTACACAAATCTCATTTTAAAGATAACAAAATATGCTTCCATTTAATTTTAAACTACAGGAATGTATTTTTAATTTTAAAAATATATTTATTGATTGATTTTGCCATTTAAATCCTTAATCCATGTGGAGTCTACCCCACATTGATAACTTTTTATTATGAAAAATTTCACAACTTTGCAAAAGTACAGTACAATGAATAACCCTACACTTTTTGGATGGATTCATCAATTTCTTTAACTTGTGAAGAAATTTTCTTTATATTCTATCTCTGTCTATGGACATATTATTTATTTCATCCCTAAAGCACATATAGCCTTAGAACAAGAACTTTTGCCAACATAACCTCAAAGTCATTATCACACACAAAGATTTAACATGGATACAATAGTATTATTTAATATACAGCCTGTATTAATAAATTTATCCAGTTGTCCCAAAAATGTTCTTTATAACTTTTTTTAAATTATCTTTTCTTTGAATCCAGGATCCAATTAAGGATTATTCATTACATTTAGTTATAAGAACTCCCTCTCCACTGTGTTCTATCTTTCATGATACTGTATTTTGGAGAGTCCAGATTAGTTGTCTCATAGATTGTTGTACAATATTTATTTCTTTGATTTTTCTTCATTATTCAATTAGATTAAACATTTTGATAAGAATATCACATAGGAGGTATTGTGAACTCATTGCAACACATCAGGAGTCATATAATGTTAGTCTGATTATTGAGGATGCTAATTTTGATCACTTAGTTAAGGTTCTGTTTGTCAAATCTTTACCTTGTAAAGATATACTTTTTCATTTATAATTTTTAAAATTTATTTTATTTTTATTGCTGTTGTTGAGGATATACATAGCACAACATATACCAATTCACCAATTTCTACATCCATTTATAATTAATAAGTAATTTGGGGGGGGGGTGATAATTTGAGACAACATGAATGACCCCTTCCATACCTATGCCATCCACCCCATTTCAACCCACAGTATAGTTAACTATCTTCATTTGATACTAATTAATCCATACTGTGTTTCTTTTTGTAAAAATACATGTGTATGAGTAAATTCATATACACACACACACACATAGACTTATTCCATCCTCTTTCCCAAACAAAGGTAGGATACTATATAATCTCTTTTACACCTTGCTTACTTCACCTAACAACACATCTGGATTCCCTGTAAAGCAGTTGATGGATACTTTTCTCATCCATTTTCATAACTGTTTAGTACCACATTTTGTTATTGCACTGTTGTCTTCTAATAAATGGGTCTTTTTATTATTTCTAATATTTTGCTGTACAAATAATGCCTCAATGAATGACCTTATATGCATATTGTTTCATGTTTGAGGAGGTATATGTTTAAGGTATACTTCTAGAAGTAGGTTGATGGGCAAAACGGTAAATACACATAAAATGTTATTGTACGTTACCAAATCCCCGTTCTTTTCCAAGGACAGTTTCAGCTGATATCTAGTACAATATACTTAAAATTACACATATCTTTGCTTACAGAGGTTTTTATCTTTTATGTATGGTATCACTAAAAGCTAGTACTTGTTATATAATAGATACCCAGCAAGGATGTTTGGATAATCGATTGCTTTTGTACTTACTAGTTTAAATTTATTGTTAAATTTGCATGAATGTTAATTTATGCATAAAGTTGCATGAAAGTTTATGTATGCATAGGTGTATATTAAGCACTACAATCTGTTTTTAGATAGTGAACTCAAAGAGGGTCTCAGTATTATCTGGTTAATTTTAAGTACTTTAAATTAAAATTCCAAGAACTTAGGAGTTTAAATTATAGAGAAAACCATTTATAATATTCAGTATGTTCTTTGAAGTAAATGCCAGTGAGATCTCATTTCAAAATATATTTTAAAAAATATTCATCTAAGAAGTTTCCCATTAGAGGATACTTTTGATTCCACTTCAGCTTCCACTAATGTCTTGAATGTGACCTTGAAGAGTAATATCTCTTTATTTTTTAAATCAGGTCAGGAACCACTCATGGATGTCTTCCTGGACCATTGCTGGGATAGCTTCCTCGTTGAGCATTCCGCCTTCTCGTTTAGTTCTCTGACTAGTGTACAAGGTACGGGATTTCTACCTTATATTCTGTCATTGCACATGTTGTTGCATTTCCGGGATGATGAAATGTATACGTTTGTTGTCTTAATATTTAGTACAAATTAAAGATAAGTAATTTTAGAATTCTAAAACAAACTTTTAGTAAGTTGATAGAAAAACAGAGATAGTATAACCTTTTTGTACATTCATTACATTTGCTTGGTTTTTCATTCCATAGCACATAAGTATGACTTACAAAATATTTTATGCTTGAGATGTTGAATAGTTCAGTGTCATGCCACTTAACACATAGGAGTGTGATGCAAGGAAGAGTTTAGAAAATTATAAATAACTAGCGTGCTCAAGCTACTCACACTTATGAAAAATAACTGGATCTTTACAAAGCTAGTAATTCTTTGCAACTTTATTACAGGATATCCAGCTATTTCTTCTATATATTAACCACCCCACTACATATTGATGAATAGGCGAACTTTTAAAGCATAAGAAATAATGAAGTTGTTGAAAACATAAAGCTCAAAAATTATGAATTTTTTTAAAAGCAGTAATGCTTTTTAAATTACAGAAAATATAACCATGATGTTGTTAGGTGCCGTCGAGTCAGTTCCAACTCATAGCAACCCTGTGTACAACAGAACGAAACACTGCCCGGTCCTGCGCCATCCTCACAATCGTTGTTATGCTTGAGCCCACTGTTGCAGCCACTGTGTTGATCCATCTCATTGAGGGTCTTCCTTTTTTTCACTTTACCAAGCGTGAGGTCCTTCTCCAGGGACTGGTCCCTCCTGATAACATGTCCAAAGTATGTGAGACAAAGTCTCACCATCCTCACTTCTAACGAGCATTCTGGCTGTACTACTTCCAAGAGAGACTTGTTCGTTCTTCTGGAAGTCCATGGTATATTCATTATTCTTCGCCAACACCATAATTCAAAGGCATCGATTCTTCTTCTGTTTTCCTTATTCAATCCTGTTCTTCCTTTTGCTATCACTAATCTTATATATATTCTACTCCTCCTCAACATTTTCATTAAAAAGCATTTCTCCAAATTTCGTTTATTCATGTACTACTTTCACAATTTTTGGCATACCTTCATATCACCTATATAATTTAATTAATATATTTTAACAGACTTTTTAACTTTAAAACATTTATTTAACAAAAGAAAACCCTAAAATGGAAAAAATGTGTCACTTGCCATGAACCATAGCAATGTACTCTGTGCCAGGAAATATTTTAAGCACTTTACACATATTAACTCATTTAGTCTTTACAACAACCCTATAAGATAGATTCTATTAGTATTCCTATTTTAGAGATGCATATACTGAAACATGCAGGAGTTATGTCCAAACACAAAGACAGCACATAGTGGAACTGGGGTTTGAATGCAGGCCGTCTGGCTTTAGGGCTTAGGCTCTTACCCACTACACAATACTGTTAAAAGTGGAAGAGAACTGTAAAACACCAATAAATCACTAATGAAATAAAATATTTAAAATATTTGTCCAAGTTTCACTCAGAAGTAGCTTAAGTATCACTATTGCAGATTGGTTTTCCTGGGAAACTGACTCTGAAAAAAAAAGTTAGTGTCCAAGAAGTTTATTAGGGAGTACTGTAAGTGCACAGGAGTCCTGGTGGCGCAGTGGATAAGAGCTACAGATGCTAACCAAAAGGCTGGCGGTTTGAATTCACCAGTCACTCCTTGGAAACCCTATGGGGCAGTTCTACTCTGTTCTGTAGGGTTGCTATGGGTTGGAGTCAACTCAATGGCAATGGGTTTGGTTTTTGGTTTTTATAAGTGCACAACAACTAACTGAAAGGTTGGTGGTTTGAACCCACTCAGAGGTGCCTCGGAAGAAAGGCCTGGTGATCTGCTTCTGAAAGGTCACAACCATGAAAACCCTATGAAGTGTAGTTCTATTTTGCAACACATGGGGTTGCCATGAGTTGGAATCGACTGCAACTTTTGTTTTTTAAAATTATGAGCAACACCCCTGGGGAAGAGAACAAAGCAGGCTTGAGCAAAGGGAGAAGGTGTGCTGTGATGCAGTCACAATAAAGGTCTCAGATGACCCTGTGCTGAGCTCTGAAGCTAGGATGACTCTTTAAATTGTCCTGAGTTGGGGTGTGAGGATCAATATTTTATAACCCCTGTATCAATCTATCATTGAAAGCAGTGTACTCCTGGGGAAAGTTTGACCTTGGGCAGGTGACTCTTCTCAGCTGAAGTCAGTTCTCCCAGAGGGCTGAAATCTGAGTATTATGTGCTGGCAATAATCTCAGTAGCTCAGGGCATAAAGTTATGAAGATATAACCCTCCTTTCTTTTTTCCTAGAAGCTTAATTGTTTTGCTATTCCTGACACATGCCTAAATAATTTGAAATATAGAGAGATATAGGAGTCAAATTCCATTTTATTCAAGATAGATATCAAACTCTCCTAGCACCATTTATGAAAAAGGCCACTATTTTCTTCACTGAATTGTAGTGACACCTTTTCCCAAATCAGGTGATGGTATATATGTGGGCTTGTTTCTGGACTCTATTCTGTTCCTATTGTCTATTCATCTATCCTTGGCACCAGTACCGTATTGTCTTAATTATTACAGCTGTACAGTAAATCTTGATATTGGGTAACATAAATCTTTCAATTTTTTTCTCTTCTTCAAGATTTTCTTATTATCTTAGTTACTATAGATCCTTTGCATTTTCATAAGAATTTTAGAATCAGCTCGTCAGTTTCTAGACACAAACACACACACACACACACACGCCCCTGCTGAGATTTTTATTGAAACCATACATTGATTTGGCATCATTTTATTTTAGAAACATTGAGTTATTGTCTTCCAATTCATGGACATGGCATTTCCCTCCATCTATTTATCCAAATGGCTGTCCATTCATTCAATAATGTTTATTTAAAATCTCATTTTATCACCACTGATTTTGATATGGCACCATTATTATATAATATACTACTATATATACTTGGTTCTACTTTTGTGTTTTCCCTACAATTTAACTGATCTGTCTTCAAGAGCCAAAACTACACTGTTTTAATTAGAGAGCTTTTATAATGTGTTTTAATAAGTGTTGATGATATTTCTTGCACATTACTTTTCTTTTTGAAGGTTTTAGTGGATATTCTTTCCTGTTTATTTATCCATATAAACATTGTAATAATTTTGACTGCCTCCAGTGAAAAACTGATGAAATTTTTATAGGGATTATTTTAGATTTATAATTTAAGATACAAATTTATAATGTAGGAAGAAATGACATCTGTCTCATATTGAGTCTTTCTATCAATACGTGTGGTATGTGTTTTCATCAACATTGTGTCTTTAGAAATGTTTTAAATTTTCTTTTTATAGTTTTTGCATTTGTTTTTAAGGAAAAATTATTCATAAGAGCTTTTTAAATCACTCTTTAAAAATTAGTGATAATGGGGGAGACAAGATGGAGTAGTCAGGCGCTTGCGGTGGACCCTTTTACAACAAAGACCCAAAAAAACAAGTGATTCGATTATATATGACAAAGTGGGAGCCCTGAACATCAAAGGCAGGAACCAGACTGAGTGGCAAGGAGAGGGAGAGACGGTTCAGAAGCAGCAAGAAGGTGCCAGACCTGACCCAGCAAGAGCCTTAGCCCTTCAGGCCTGATCAGATTGGCGGTGAGTGGTGAGGCAGGCAAGCATCGGTGCTCAGGAGGCATATTCCACACAGGGAGAGACCCAGCTGCTGAGAGTGTACTTGGCCACGCAGAACCAGTGAGAAGCAGCCCTTGATGGCCGAAAGATAAGTATTTGCATCTGGCCTACCACACAGATCAAAAACACCCCCCTCAGGGAAAAACCTCTCTCCCATTTACCTCCCCACTCCCTGCTCTGCACTGGGTCCCTTACCAGCTTCAGCAATTGCTGAGTCCCCTGGGCCGGAAGTAGGATCTGTCACACACAGAGCTGAGCCATTCTCCCGGCCTTGGAGAGTGAACGAATTAACAAACAGGGGAAAAAATAAACTGCTGTCTCCCCTAAGCCAGGAACTCAGGGCAGGCACAGCTCCTTGGCCTAGGCACAGGCATAAGGGATCCACGGACTTTAAGTGCCTTTTCCCCTGCATAGACTTCTGTGGGCCCATTTTAACAGCATAGGCCCTCATTACCACAGTACAAGAGGGTATATACTTGAAGTCTAACTTCAACTGTTTCACCTGTGAAGTGGCAGTTTGTAACATTTGACTCTGCTCTGCCCATTAAGTAGAGTCTTCACCTACCCACATCAGGGGCCTGAGGATTGGTGGCTCCACCCATGCCACCTAGCAACCTGGGATAGGGGCCCAAGAATAAGAGGTTGCCCCCAGTCCTTACAGCCAACAGCATTGGGTGCTCATAGTCCGGCTGCAAAACCCACCAACCTACGTGCTCTAGGGAACAGGGATACGCCTTCCTCCTGGACACTTGGGGGTGGCCATATGACCCCTGCCTTGCTCTGATTGTGTCCCCCTGCTGCAGCCAGATGCCTCTGCCTACACCAGTCATCAATGCCTGTAGGTGAGAGCCTGCACCAAACACTTGGCTACCTACCTGGGCACCTGAGCTGAACCCATATAGGAGGAGTGGGCTGACTCCTGAGTTCACATAGCTAGTAACAGATCTAACCACCCGGTGACAGGACATTAGAGCTTCAAAGGTGCCAATAATCAAACTAGCGCACATAAGCAGACTATTTGGGCATATCAAAACAAGAATCTAGGACACAGTAAGCAAACATAAAATAAATAAATATTATAACTTATTGATGGCTCAGAGACAACAGTCAATATCAAATCACATAAAGAAGCAATCCACGATGGCTTCAGCAAGCTCCCAAAATAAAGAATCTAGAAACTTTCTAGAGGAGGAAAATTTCTTGGAATTACCAGAGGTAGAATATGGAAGATTAATATACAGAAGTCTTCAAGAGATTAGGAGGAAATTAATCAAAATGCAGAACATGCAA